AAGTGCCAGAGCGTGGTTCCTGTCATGGGCTCCGTCCTGGCTGCTGGAGGCCGGAGCTCCGAGGCGCACGCAGAGAGTGCCAAGGCAATCCAGTCGAGCGTCGTGCAGTGCATCGGGGAGAGTTGCGAGACTCCTGAGTCCACGGAGCCATGCGTTTCCATCTTGAAGAAGATCATCGAGGCCGACTGGTTGACTGGAGATGCCGCCAAGGAGTTGACTAACTGCGTCGAATTAGTGGAGTGCTGGGGCCCACTAGTCAACCACGTGGAAGAATGGTGCCAACTGGGCGCAGACGACGGCAAGCGATTGGAGAACGCGTCGGCGAAGACAATCATGATCGGCTTGCTGTCCTCCCTGGCGAAGGCGAAGGAGTCCGAGTGCGACCCCAGCAAGGTCCCTGCTCTCAAGGCCGCCTTCGACAGAGCCACGCGCGTCCAACAGGATGCTTCCATGATCTCGAGGGCGGTCAACAGCGAGTCTTTGAAGATTCAGTGCGACGACGCGGAGCCCAAGAGCACAGGAGGCGAATCCAAAGATAAGCCGTGGCATTCGACGATGAAAAAGGACGCAACGGTGAGGGGCGCCGTGGAGATTGCCAAGGGGAGCATCCTCAAGATCAACGGCCCCGAGTTCAGCGCTATGACGGATTCGCTGAGCCAAGCCATCGACTCCTACAACGTGTGGGCCACGGTGATCAACTACGAGGTGGACGACGCCCTCCTCGCCAGGGCCCTCGAGATCAAGAATGACTGCTTGGCGACGAAGCTCTCGGCCATGCTGGTGCACGCGCAGGTCGAGCACGCTGACGCGCCGACGAAGCTCCGCAGGGCCGCGAACAAGATCAAACAGAACGTGGCGGCGGCTGGAGTGCAGGAGGTGATGGCCAAGCAGATGCGCGACCTGATGAAGAGCATGTGCTCGCTCAAGTCGGCCTGGGCGCATCCAGCAGAGGACGCCGCGGCATGTGCTCGGCGGCTGCGGCGGCCGCCGAGCGGAAGGCCCCCAGCAGGTGCGCACCCTGAAGAAGCGCTCGTTCCCCGAGGCCCGCGGAAGTGGACCGAGGGGAAGGGGTGATGAAGAGAGGGGCGATGACAACGATGGCGAGGATGACGATGACGAGGATCATGAAGAGGATGAGGAGAGGGAGGATACATTGAGAGGAATATGAGTAGTAGTCAATAATCCAAGACGCCCACGGCGAATCACCGCCGCCCTGCCTTTTGGAAGCGCCTGGGTGGCAGGACTTTGCTTCAGAGCTCGGCCAAGCTATTGGACTCTTGTCCCCCCTGCCGTCGTGGAGAGCGAAGAGTGCGCAATGGGGGGATCGGCGCCGTGCCATGTCCTCATCCTCCTCTCCCTCCCTCCTCCTCCTCAACGCCCCTAGTCCATGCCTGAGCCCCCCCTCCACCTCCACCTCGTCCCTCCCGTCCGTCCTCGTCCACCCGCCTCCCTCTTCCTCAACGTCCTTCCCCTACGCCATCCCGCCCCCTCCACGCCGCTTGTCAACTTCCAGCCCCCGCCCTTCTCCGCGTCCACTTTTTTCCACCTCCTCTCTTCCGCCGTCTTCTCCTCAGCCTTATTATGTTCTTGAATATGCCTTCCTCCATCTCTATCTCCCTCCCCCCACCTCCGCCTCACTCCGCCCCCCCCCCCCTCCCCCCCCCCCACCCCCCCCCCCCCCCCCCCCTCCCCCGCCAACGACGCGCATCCCCCCTCATTGGCAATATCCTGCCACCGCCGCCTCCCTCGAGTTCCACCATCGACCTCGATTTCCCTCTACCTCTACGTCATCCTCCCCTTCCCGTCTCGTCCTCGCCCCTTTGCCCCCCCCTCTGCCTCCTTCCCCTCTGCCTCGCCCTCCTCATCTCCCCTCTGTGCGTCCGTCCTCCGCACCCCCCCGCCCCTCTCCCCCCTGCCTCATTCCCCTCTCCCGTCTCCTCCTCGCCCGCGCCACTCCTCCTCATCCCTCCTCCTCGCTACTCCTCTTTTCCATCCTCTTCAGCGTGCTCCCTTTCTGATCCCCCCCCGATTCCCCCTTCCTCTCGCCCCCCGCCCTCCCGCCCCCCCCTTTCTGAGCTGGCCATCCCCGCCACTCCTCTCCTGTTCCACCCTCCCTTGCCTCTCCCTCGTAAACCTCCGTTGCCATTTTGGCTTTGACCGCTACTGCGGGAATGCGGTGCTCGAGCGCTGCGATGCGCGGCGCGCCGCCTGGTGCGCGACCCGTTGGTTTTGCGCGCGCCCAGCCCGCGCGTGGTTTACAAGGCGGCGGGTTCAGCCTTGCCGACGGCAAACCTCGCTGAAACGATTCGGTTTTGTTTGGCCAAGGCCATGCGTTGCCGCGGGGGCCCCGATGCGGGGCCCCGAGTGTGCGTGTGTACATATGGTATTGCGGCGATCGAAACTTGCCTTGCGTTGTGTACTTGCCCCGAAAAGCGGGGGCACTTTGGATAGTACTTTTGCGCGGCGCACGGATGAGTGGTCGAATTTGCAGGGTACTTTGGGTATGGACCTTAGATCATATCTCAAACCCTACTTTGCCCCTTTTCTCCATTTCCTATCTGTAGCAGGCGCTGGCTGTCACAAGTAGAGCAACGCCGCCCGTGCCTGCGAGAGCCTCGCCATCGTCTGCCGCAACGAACTGGGAGAAGAAGAGCTTGCACGGGCACGGCTGCGCGTCAACCCACGTGCGGAGGAGCGCCTCCGAGCCATGGACCTCCTGCAGGGCAATGACGGCGCCTTTTCGCATGCACTGCTGCAGTGCCGCCTGCTTGCGGTGGCGCCTGGAGTGCTTGTGGCACATGAGGGCCCTGGCGTTCCACGTGATGAATAAGCTGGGCCTATCGTCCTCGACGGGCTTCCACGGCGCCCAGGGGTGGCTAAACCCGCCACGTGGCCTCCGCAGTGTCCGCGAAGAGCGCCTGTAACGACGTGAGGATGGCGCCGCGATCGATGTCGCGGAAGGCGGCGAGCTCGAACGCCTTCTCGTTCCAGTCGAGGATGGTGGGGGTCGGCTTGTCCCTTGACGCCCAGGCGCGCGACAGGCGTGGCATCGCAGTGGATCTCGCCATTGGCTCGGTATGCTCTCCATGACTTTTGAGGATGACGGTGTTGAAGGAGCTGAAGAAGCTTCTTACATTTGATCTCGGTGCGGATCTGCTCTGGCGACTTGCCGGGGTTGAGGTAGATGCCCGCCGGGGTGCCCGATGTGTCGACGGAGGTGAAGCGCTTCCATTTGCCTCCAGCATCACGTAGGGCACGGGCGAGCGCCAGGGCGCGCGGGATGGCCACATCGCGTCCGCCCTTAACTTGAAGCACAGATCTACGAGCAGGTTCGTCACCGTGGAGTTCGACAGCGTCGGGGCCCAGGTTGGCCGAGGCGATCCACTCCTGCAAGTCGTTGAGGAGCGCGTCGGGGGCGATGAGCCGCTGCGCTCCGACGGTGAAGATCGTGGGGTCGATCTCGCGATCCCAGTCGGCGAGCCTGGAAAGGTCCGTGATCGGGACCTGAGCCTCGGCGAGAGCGAGGGTCTCTCGCATCTGGTCGATCTGCTGCCACATCTTTTTCTGTTCATCAGCTTGGCGGTCTTGTTCTCTACGTGTGCGTGCGACGACATCATGAAGGGTGCCAACTCGGCGTTCAGTGGCTTGAACTTGCTGCGCGAGAAGTTGGCGAAAGCTTCCACGCGACTCATTGAGCAGCTGGCTGGCTTGAGCTTGGAAGGTACGGGATGCGTGTGCAACTTGAGCTTGCGTGAGATCTTGGAGAGCTTTGTCGAGTTCAGGGTCCAGTCCTGGAGGACGAGCGGGTTCGCCTGGGGTGGCGGTCTCGGTGTCGGCGGTGGTTCCGACGGCGGCCGCTCCTCCAGAGGCTGTTGCCCCTCCAGTTCGCCATGGGCCAGCAGCGTTGAGAGGGTCATGATGTAGTGTTTCACCAAGGGGCTCTGTCCATTCACCTGCTTGAAATTGGTGTGCTGCGGTGACGGCGTCAGCGCGTGCTAAGACTGCGGCTTCCTCATCTCCAGTGTCCATGGCGAAGTGGGACGGCTGCTGGAGCGAGCGGCGTGCCCAGATGCACGCCCCGATCGTGGTGCCGCTTGAGTAGCGCTGCCAGCGTCGCCGAGCGAGTCCATGGTAGCGCGTGCTGCTCGACCACTTTTATCAGCACGGTCTGGGTAACCTCGAGCAGCGCGATCTTGGTCGTGACGTTCGCGGTCTCGACGGCGATCTTTCCTTCTGCGGCTAGCAGATGGGGCACTGCGTGAGGTAGAGCGTTCTTCACTGGAGGATGACATGTCTGCGACTGTGGGCTGCTGTCGAACTGGCTGCTGTTCTGCTTCAGGAAGTTGGATGTGAGAGCGCCAGGCCCCAAGGCTTTCGCGGTGCCACCACGTGGCGACTGCTGCTGCTGGGAAACGAGCGAGTCGACGTCCAGCTGGTTATGGATGCGGAAGACGGCGACGTGAGACGAGCCAAAGTCCAGCTGGCTCGCGGCGACGGTGGTCGGGCCGCTCGACAGCACGATATGGATGGCAGCCTGCAATGCCAGAACAATGAGCAGGAGTGGGCGGCCGCAAGCCCCTGGATGTGGCGGCAGAAAGCTTGGGTGCCAGCTCACCCCTGGATGTGGCTGGAAGCAGTTGGGGACTGGCCTCGGATCAGAGGTCTCCATGCGGCCGCAGCGCGACATGGTGACTTGAGCCAAAATGGCTACGGAGGAGGAGGACGAGGAGGAGAAGGAGGAGGACGAGGAGGAGGAGGAGGAGGGAGAGGGGGAGGAGGTGGAGTAATCGCCTCTCCCCTCGGAGAAACCGAAAGGTACCGATACTGCTACTCCCCGGACCTTTTCCCGGGGTGCGTCTGACCGTAATTTCGCAGCGAGTCCAGCGGTGGCGACGAAGGCCCCCCAGGACGCCCAAGGAAGGGAAAACGAGGGAAGCGTAGAGGTATGGGTACCGTTTCCTCCTTTGACCCCCCGCTTTTATTCGAACCATCGCCGAGTCCTCGCACTTGAGGAGGCCGAAACATCCGCGCTGCTGGGCGTCATCCCTCGGGAGGACGGCCGCCGCCGAGAGACCTGCGCGCGCGTGATGGGGCGGCCCGCGGCGGAAGTGGTCGGCGAGGCGCGTGCATAGAGGCCTCCCGGATGGGGTCGGAGTTGAATCGGCTTGTATAAGAAGGACGCTCAATAAGGATGCGAAGGCCCTGGAGGGCCACGTCGACACTTTGCGGGAGCGGCGAAAAAACGGGCCGACGGGGAAGGAGGCAAAGGTGACCGTCGAAAGTCCGTGTTCTTTACTATGCGGGTTGACTGTAGATGGGGTCGGAGGATCGCGACGCATCGTCGATGAATCGCCGATGCACCGTCGATGCACCGGCGACGTCGGCGATGCATCGGCGACGTCGGCGTGGAAATCGGTCTCCACATCGAGCCGCATCGCCGATACATCGGCGATGCGGCGCAATCCTCCGAGCCCATCTGTCGGCCCCCACGAACCCGCAGAAGAGGCGTATGAGAAAAAAGCGTCGTGCGAACGTACTTGGGTGATTGCTGGCTTGCTGGATAGCCACGGCGAGTTGAAGCGATTCGCATTTTCGCGCTCATTATAGAGAACCAGACGGCTACGCGATGCCATCTGCAGCCAGCTGGCTGGGCCAAACCCGAAGGCATAACGACGCACACGCCCAGGCGGCTTGGAATGCGACCTCCAGCGGGGCACACATGGACCGACCCTGAAGGATGCCCAGAGCTTGACGGGGCAATGCCTCCAACCCCAATGCCCAGTGCACCTCACGGGACCCACGGGGCCCCGCGGGCCAACTCGTTGCACTTCAACGCAACGCTAACGGCGCGCTAGTTTTGCTCTGCCGCCTGCACCGCGCACCGCCTACAATTTTGACGAGTGTCACCGATGTCCCACGTGCAACTCTCACCTCACGAGGCTGGTAAGGGGGGCCCCAGAGGGTCACCGACGCAATCTGTGGGGACCTCCAGCCAGTGACCTGAGGACGCCGCTGGTGGGCCCCAGAAAGTCACCGACGCAAGCTGTGGGAATCTCCAGCAAGTGACCTCAAGACGCCGTTTGGGGTCTCTGCTGAAAGGTCACCGACGCAGGCTGCGGCGGGGACCTCTGGCCGGAGTCCCGAGGACGCCGCTTGGTGACCCCAGAAGGTCACCGAGACAATCTGTGGGAACATCCAGCCAGTAACCTCAGAATGCCGCTTGGGGCCTCTGCAGACGGTCACCGACACAAGCTGTGGGAACTTCCTGCGAGTGACCCCAGGACGCCGCTGGGAGGCCCCAGGAGGTCACCGACGCAAGCTGTAGGAACCTCCTGTCGGTAGCAACATGAAGTCACTTGAAGGCCCCAGAAAGTCACCGACGCACGCTGTTGGAACCTCCAGCTTATGACCTCAGGAGGTCGCTTAGGGGCCCGAGGACGTCACCGACGCAAACAATAAGAACCTCTGGCCGGAGACCTGAAAACGCCGCTGGGGGACCCCCGGTCACCGACGCAAGCTGTGGGAACCTCTGGCCAGTGACCTCAGGAGGACGCAACGGGGGGCCCCAGAAGGACACTGACGCAAGCTACGTATGGGAACCTCCATCAAGTGACCTGAGGAGGCCGCTTGGGGGACCCAGAAGATCACCGACGCAAGCTGTGAGAACCTCCAGCCCGTGACCTGAGGAGGCTGCTTGGTGGCCACAGGTCACCGACGCAAGCGCTAGGCACCTCCGGCTGGCGACCTCAGGAGGCCGTTTGGGGGCCCCAGGAGGTAACCGACGCAAGTTGTGGGAACAGCCGGTGACGCCACAAGGACACTTGGGGCCCCAGAAGGTCACTGACGCAAGTTGTGCGAAACTCTGGCTGGTGACCTCCAGAGGCCGCTTGGGGGCCCGAGAAGGTAACCGACGCAAGCTGTCGGATCATGACGCCGGCCAGCGACCGCAGGAGATCGCTTGGGGCTTCTGCACACGGTCACCGACGCAAGTTGTGGGAACTTCAGGTCGGTGACACGAGGAGGCCGCTGGGGGGCCCCAGGAGGTCACGCACGCAATCGGCAATCGGTGGGAACCTCCCACCGAGGCATGTAAGGGGGCCCAGAAGGTCACCGACGCAAGCTGTGGGAACCTCCACCCACTGACCTCAGCAGGCCGCTGGGGGCCTCTGCGGACGGTCACCAACCCGTGCTGTCGGGCACGCCAGCTGGTGACCTCAAGAGGCCGTGGGGGTGCCTCAGAGAGTCATCGACTCATGCTTTGGGAACCAAGGTACTACTGCTTTTTGAATATAGCCACTGTGTTAACCCTAGGCGATGATCCATCGGACTGGGGGGCAAGCCCCCCCTGCGCCCACCCCGGACATCGACCCGGCGTGACGTGCGGCATGGCATGGATGATGGCACGAATGCTGGTACGAGTTCGGCATGGTATCGGTATGAAGGTGGCATGACACATTTAGATCGTCAACATTAGTGTTCAATGACTATGGTACGATCGCCGCCGCATGTTTGTCATGCGCATGATTTGTGGTCGCCACGCCACCTGAGCGCGGGCCGAACATTGTTTCATGCTGCCCCACGGCTTCGCATACCGTTTCCAATACTTCACGCCCTCGCACCGTCCATTTGGAAAGGGCAGCTCCCCGGCGAAACCCGCGACGCGCGATGCGCGATTGTCTTCGCGCCTCTGGGGGTGCGAGGTCTGTGGTGGGGGTGCGAGGACAGATGCCCGTACCTCAAATTCCTTCGGGAGGAAAGCCTGGGGCGTCTTTGCCAACACCCACGGTCCACATTGCGGCGCCGGAACCCCCAAGCACGACCTCGCCCAGACCGAAGAGTCAAAATCAACGGGCCCCATTGAGGGCCAACAGGCTACGAGGCCGAGGCTTTCCTGCAACCTGCAACAGCTCCAATCGCCAACGGTACAATTTCTGGCCGCTGGCTCCGCCTGTACAATGTTGCTGCACGCGCGAGGACCCTGCGCGCAAAAAAAAACAATATATATATATATATATATATATATATATATAATATAAACAAATAGGCCCCCCCCCCCCGGCGGGGCCGCCCACTCCGCAACCATCGGGGAACGCTTTTTAATACCCCCTCCCCGGGGCCTCCAAGGAGCCTCCAAGGAGCCTCCAGACGACCCAAGAGGCCTCCAAGACGGCCCCAGGAGGCCCCCAGGATGGTCCAAGAGGGCCCCGAGGCGGTCCCAGATCGCTCCAAGACGCCCAAGATGGTCCCAAGACGGCCCAAGGGGCCTCCAAGACGCCCCAAGAGGCCTCCAAGAGGCTCTCCAAGAGGGCCCCAAGAGGCTCGAATCGTTGATTTTCCATTGTGTTTTTCGATGTTTTTGGCTTTCTCTCCTTTTGGGCTCCCTGGCGCTCCAAGACGGCCAAGAGGCACCCAAGATCCAAGACAAGACGGCCCAAGAGGCCTCCAAGACTCCCAAGACAAGAGGCCCCCAGAGCGCTCCCTGGCGGACCAAGAGGCTTAAGAGGCCTCGAAGACGGCCCAAGAGAGTCCCAACACGGCTCCAAGAAGGGGCCCAGACGCGGGATCCGAGCGCACTTTACGGGCCCTCGGCCCCAAGAGCATCCCCAGAAACCACTAGAGGCTCCCAAAGGCCCCCAAGAGCCCCCCGGGAGGCCCCCAAGAGCCCCCGAGCAGGCACCGAAACGAGCCCCATGCGATTTCGGACACTTTCATATGCACCCCTTCTTCCTTCCGATCCGTTCCGTTGAGCTGCCTGCATTGAGTAGCATGTGCATTGCATTTCAATTCAACAATAATGCTGTGAATCGCGCTGCATTTGCAACGTTTGGCGTTTGTTTTACTACTCGCATTGGTCTGCATGGCGTTGCATTCGATACGTCTGTGTGCGCCCTCGTGTGTACTACGGCCCTGTTCGGTCTGCGCCATTGTTACCTCTCCAGTTCATGCTCCTGGTGCCTCTGGTCGCCATGGGAGCTCCCCGGGCCAATTTCTTGCACACCTCACAAGAATCGTGGCCCCCTTGCCAAAAATTCCAGCCCTCAGTCTCCAGAAGCTTCGGAAGAGGCCACAAGAGGCCCCAAGTGGCTTCCATGAGGCTCCCAAGACAGCCTCCGCGAGACCCCAGAGGGCCCGAGATGGCTTGAAGATGGCCGAAGAGGGCCCCGAGAGAGCCTTCAAAAGGCAAACATCGCCCCATTTCCTTTGTGAAACGTACATTTTCAGCATACCCGCTGGCTTCGTCTTCGCAGCGCCCCAGGACAGCCATCGCGGAGCCCCAAGACAGCCCAAGAGAGACCCAAGAGGGCCCCAGACGGCCCAAAAGGGTCGGCCTGTGGGGCTCACCGAACCCCCTGAGACGGCCCAAGAGGCCCCGAAGCCGGTCCAGGAGGCCCCCAAGACGGCCTCAGGGAGGCCCAAGAGGGCCCCGTTCGAAATCATGTTCCCGGAAGCCTCTCCGGGAACATGGTTTCCGGGCTCCCAGCGCTCCCTACTGGGCCCCAGGACAGCTTCAGCGAGGCCCCAGAGGGCCCGAGATGGCTCGAAGATGGCCGAAGAGGGCCCCGAGAGGGCCTTCAAGAGGCACAGATCGGCACATTTCCGTTGTAAAACGTACATTCTCAGCATACCCGCTGGCTTCGTCTTCGCAGTGCCCCAAACGCCCCCAAGGAGCCCCAAGACAGCCCAAGAGAGACCCAAGAGGGCCCCAGACGGCCCAAAGAGGTCGGCCTGTGGGGCTCACCGACCCCCCCGAGACGGCCCCAGAGGCCCCGACGCCGGCCCAGGAGGCCCCCAAGACGGCCTCGGGGAGGCCCAAGAGGGCCCCGTTCGAAATCATGTTCCCGGAAGCCTCTCCGGGAACATGTTTTCCGGGCTCCGAGGACGCCCTAGACGGCCCCAGGACAGCCTCAGCGAGGCCCACGAGGGCCGGATATGGTTTCAAGATGGCCGAGCCCCAAGACAGCCCAAGAGAGACCCAAGAGGGCCCCAGACGGCCCAAAAGGGTCGGCCTGTGGGGCTCACCGAACCCCCTGAGACGGCCCAAGAGGCCCCGAAGCCGGTCCAGGAGGCCCCCAA